CCCCCGCCCCTCCCTCCCTCCCTCCTTCCTCCAACCCCTCGCCAGCAAACCACACGGATCACACTCTCCTGATTTGTATCCCCAGGAGCAGACCCGGCCACTGATCTGAGGGCCTGCGGATTCCTTGGCCTCATGACGCTCCTTCATTTTGTCATGGACCCCGTCAGACAGCAGCTCGCCAAAGACATCTACAAGCTGTCGCTGCATGATACGCAGGTGTTTTACCTCGGTCTCCTTCGTAGCCGGTCACGCCCTCCCCCCATTGAAGTGGTGCAAACTAGTCAACCCTCTCCCTTCGGCATGATTTGCTGCGGCGCTTGCTCAAAGTACTTTTCGTCAGATGCTTTCAAAATGTTTTTTCCCCATTTTCCATCATCTTAAGAAGATATGTGCCCTTTCCTGTGACACCACTAATGGTCGCCCTGCATTCAACAAGAACGAAAATTTAAATGGTCCACAGGTATTGTTGACCTGTTCAACAACATTCTTTGAAAATATCGCAAGCATTGGTAATGTACACATGCTTTTCATCAAAGCTTTGCTCACAAAAGGACCTTGCCCCCCACAATTATCGACTTTATCGTGATGCAGCCATGTTTGTCTTGTTCCCCGTTGCCTATTTAGCAATAGTAATGCAACTCCATGTACTGATAAAAGGGAACATTACTTTGATTGGCAAAAAAGTAAGATGGCTGCCCAGTGATAGAGCTGTTGAACCAGAGGTGGGATTTCCCTGCTAACTTGCTAATTTTTTGGGGGGATTTCTTTCTTTTTGTCTTGATTTGCAGAATTTCCCCTTCTCCGTGATGTCCATCAACATGACCAGAATAGCCTTACAGTCTCTCAGGGAGGGTGCTCTATCTAGGTGAAGCTTGTTGTCATCGAGTGTTTCTTGGAATGAAACAGGACGATTGGTCAAATCCGACCATATCTGAATCAACTGGCTGTGGCTATGCATGGAACACAAATCAATGAGAAGTGGCCACACTCCGCTAGCCACAGCCACGACTTTGGGGCAAGGCGTAGTAGAATCATTAACGTTTGAAAAAAATTATACTGACTGCAGCGGAGGAAATCTGGCCAGCTATTTGTGCATTTCAGGCAATGCGGGATACATTCGAATACAACTCGAGATCTCTACTCTTACAGCACTTAAAATACAAGCAAACTTGAATTCTCAATTCTGATTCATTGGTCACTCCGTGGCAACAAACAGTGGTGATATAAACTGTACAATCATTTGCAAAAGTTTAGGACCGCCCATAGACAATGCATTAACCTGAAGGGAAACCAAACTTAAACCAATCAATCATGGCAACTTATGTTTATTTTCAATGTGTAACCTTGGTACGTTGGTTGGACATTTTTGACTACATTTCCATGATTTGACATGTTAACAGTCTAATATTCAGTGTTCCCTCCTTTATTTCTGATTGCTTAGACTGGCGTTTTTTTCCCAAGCTACCTTACAGACAAAATGTCATACGAGACCTGCCTTTGCAAAAAAATTCATTCAAATGGGTATATAGCACTACACTGATGTCATGCACCACTGTAAAATCATGTTAAGTAATCATTCAGTGAGACAGTGTAATGCAGGCCCAGTGACAGAAATACCAATAAAATTCAAGGTGGTTTGAAACTTTTGCAAATGACTGTTAGCCTGTTAAAATCTGGTACACCAAGTTAGCTGATGGCACGGGAACATAATTTGAATTCCCCAGACTAAAGACACTGTTGGTAAACTTCGTGATTCGGGGCAAGCTGTTGCATAGTGACCACCATCTCTGGAATGGACTGGTTCCTTTGTGCCATGCTTATCCATTGAAAACAGTGTATTGGTGCAAGGCAGATGCAAAGCGTCCCTTATGTAACTAAGCGAAAGCTTGCCCCGAACAACATCGTATAACAGCAGGGTCTTTAGTGTGGAGAATTCAAATTGTTACGTTCGTGTGAATTTAAAGAACTCAGTGTACCGGATTTTACGCAGATTTAACTCGCAAAAGACTTATTGAAGCTCATTCTTCGCTGTGGTTGCCCCTGTGACTGTGTCCAAATCACCTAGCTACGGCTGAAAAAAACACATGAGCTTATGGGAAATAGATGAAGCCGCTGGCTAAAGGCTTTCCTGGATCCACATGTTATTTTCCAGCCAGAGTAAAGAGATTCAGACACCGCCTCATGCCTGCAAAGAGGACAAATGTTCTTTGGGCAGAAATCGTATGCGCTGCAGTGCCGTTTGGAAATATCTAGCTGCTTCTGTTTCTCCGCAGGGAATGCAATCGACGTAAGCAGGTCTTTGGCGTCATCAACGATTTCTACGCCGGCATCTTTCTGCAGTTGCACCAGATATGGAAGCATCAACAGAAGACGATCAAGGATTCAGGATTTGTTATCAAAGGTGACATTTCCCCTCAAACGGAATGTTTCCCGTGATCAATATTCAACCACACTGTTATTGGTTTCAATTGCTTTATACCTGTGCTTTAACCACTTGCCGCTGGGGTTTCTGGTACCGGACACGTATTCTTTATGCGCGTGGCCGGGGCCTCTGAAATTGGACAAGGGGAACTGGGCCTTTGTCCAAGCACTTGAGCTAGGAGATTTTCCTTGATGTTAAATTTAGATCACTTGATTCGTAGGCTGGCCATTTTCAGCTTCAAAGTGTTAATTTATTTGATTTTTATGTGTCTGATTTAAAGATGTCGAACAGGAGGCCAAGAAGAACCCCAGGGCCATCATCAAAACCCTGGAGACATACCTACACGAAAGGGGTGAGAAACACAGTGGGAACCTCAAGTCCAGGCCGGCCAGAGACGGCCCCTTGGAATTTGCTGGAGTGCACGAACTAAGGACAGAAGATGACTGATGAAGGTGGGACGCTAAACCCATAAGGCCTTGCACTGTAATATTAAATGAACCTGAATCAAGTTAACTTATTCAAATTTTCAAAGATGTGTCTTTAAGTTTTCAGAAATCCGGGGTGCACGATATGTATATATTGTAGGACATGTATTCTTGCATACCAAGACCTGAAATATATAGCCACCTAAAATTCTTTCAATGAGAGTGATCTGCAAAATTTTTTTTGGTAATTTTTCGGTGTCGCTACTCACGCAGCTCAGTTGTAGACAGAAGGAACTGCGGTTCAAGTTTGTTTCCTATTGTCAGATTCCCCAAGGCAGAGACATTCATTATTTGTCTGTTCAGTAGGGTAGAAAAATCTCCAAGATTCTTGCTCTAGTGTTGAACATGTGTGCATGTGACTGCCAACCGGGTCGTCTTTCTTCAAATTTTATCATTTTGTTGGTCCTTCTCAAGGAATCCGTCCAAGAAACTCAATGGGACTATTGTTTTTGTTTCATAGACAGCTGAAAAATGCAGTGCTGTACTTAAAAACTTTTTCATTGCATCTGAATTCTTGTCCCAGGGATACGTGAAGAATGCGTAGCACTTTCATTAGGTTCCCCGACATGTAGACAGCAACTATTCCTTCCATTCATTCGAGTCCCGCCTCGTCGAGGAACAACATAAAAAACACCTTGGTACGAACAACCTTTCACAAAACAGGGTCTTTCAAACCAGTTACTTCACCGCACCAAGTCCAAGTATGGTTATGTACCACTTGCTGCCGTATGCTTTTAAAAATGCAGTGCACACATGCAGGAGATTTTCAAGATTTTCAGTTTTCAAAATTCTTCAAAAATTCATGGTTTCATTTAATGGACGTTTACACCCACACGAATGACTGTTTAGTGGCTACTCTAAGCTGACAGGCAACTTTTATTTTAACGTCTTTTCAAACGCAGCTGGATTAGCATGCAGCGATGCTGTGTCACTCATCAATGGGGCCCTGGAGCACTTTTGTCCGCAGTACTAATCCACAGGTGCGCTATGCCCAAAACAGTGGTATACTGTTTAAAAACAGTGACGGATTACCTTCGAAAAATGCAAGCAGAAAAATAATGGCAATTCCCATCAGCGGGTTTTTTGTTCCGAGTATGGTCTTTTGAATACACAGACCAGCTCTTTTGTCCCATTTTGGGCACCCTGACCTTGCGTATAAACCCATGGTGCTCGAAACGGGGTTCCCCGGCAGCAAGTGGTTAAACCTGCCTGTCAACTTAATTCATTCGACTTCCATTACCAAGCTTGGTTGGATGCGAGTCCAACTTAAAGTGCAATGTTTATAAGACCGACTGTATGTAGTTCATTCCTATGGTCAAAAGCCTCACTGTATTCTCTCACTAGGAAGTGATCGGAGATACTGATTGCTTGCTTTGTCTCAGTCCTCATTTGGTCAAGTCTTGATAGAAAAGTAGATATATATAACATACTGGCCTTGAGCTGGACCAAGAGAGGGTGCTATTTTCTTAGCAACAGAGGCTCCTTTGGTAGGAACTGAAATTCACTGGTTCACAAACTACTAGGAAATGCAAGCATCAAGGTCGCGTCACTACCAACAAAATGAACACTCCCGACCAGCGCGGCTCTTTTTAACCGATGAGGGAGTGCTTCTGCTTGAGGCAGATAGTTCAATATTTCCCCACTGTGTAAATATTTTTTATAATCTTTGCTTTGAAGATTCTTTATTAATTTATAAGTTCAAATGTCGACTGCCTAATCATGTCAGATCAATGTGAAATAAAACAATTCAACTTGATCTTTTGTCCTTTTCGAATTCCTTTTGTGGAGAAGTTGCTGCAATGTGCCGTGTTGTTTATTGCAAACAAATATGAAAAGGAATCTTTACAAGTTCTTCCCTTTTTTTTGAGTGGTTCGTCTGGTCCGTTGACAGGTTGTATTTCTACGTATCATGTCGGTTTTTCGTAATCTTGTAAACTATCTGATCATTTTCTTTTTTTTTATGTCAAACACAGCTCACTGAATTTTGCTATGCTGGGAAAAAAAGGCTTGAAAGTAAATATTCAGAAATTAAACTAAATATTTCCCGTGAAAGACAGTAATTGCCGTTGGGGCAAACACCTGCTTACAGATTCAAATCAACATTAAGTATCAGTTTTAAATTATCATTGATCATCAATGACAGAGTTGAAAATTTCTTTGTACTGCTTGAGGACTTCTTCTGCGGTGGGTCGTGATGTAGGATTCAACTCCTTGCACTGTCTATGGATTTTGAATAAATGTAACCTGATGATGTCCCCGTGTGGAACATTTCCCAGGAGGGTGTCAGTTACATCCGGGACTTTCCATATGTCGGTTTTCTCGTCGTACAGTGGCATGTCTGCATCTCGGAACTCACGCTCGTCAAATGGCCAGAGTTGCTCTGGAGCAACGAAATCCCCCCAGAGCTGTCTGTGGCCACATTTAGTAAGCTTACCCCTGGCTCGATCTACCAGAGGCAGAGCATCCAAATCGTTGATGACCAGCCGCAGGTCATCGGTGACCAAGAACTGGGACAGGGTCTTGCCAACATCATTGCTGTCGCACATGATGCGCGTGCCGGCGGGACCGGAATGCAACAAGGAAAGAATCTGCGCGTAATCCAGGCACAACTGGAATCTTGTACGAACCGTGTTCCTGTCGGAGAGGTTTTCTTGAGAGAGTATATCGTTGATTCTGTCAGCGGATCCAAGTTGGTGATACTCGGTTACAATGACTGGCCTGTCGCCATGGAGACAGAGACCAATGAGCCGGATGACTAAGTCATGAGGCTGCAGTGCTCGCAGCATCTCAGCACCATGGAGAAAGTCTTCAAGATGTTGGGGATGGATCAGGGAGGAGTATGCAACTCTCAATCCTCGCCATCGTGCCAGATGAACCTATTTTGAAAACAACAACAGTGCTAGTAAATGATGTGCAGTCCCATCAGAGGTCGTTCAAACCTCAAGGAAAATGTTGGCTGTCTGAAATACTTCAAATGACCCATTTCAGGAAAACACCAACTGCCTGTTTGTCAATGTCATTTTTATTTCTCAATAGCTTAAATATTTTATGTATTCAGTTTCTATTCACCATCAATGTTATTTAGGATTCTTTGCATGTCTATCTTTACAGACTCTGGGGTTTTCCTGTGTCATACCACAATAGAATCCTACTAAAGATGCAGTCTATATTTTTCTATTCATTTTCTGGCAACTGTTATTACTTGTAAGCGGGTACAAAAAGGAAATGTTTCGCAGTACCTCTTTGACAGCCCCCTCCCCTATCTTCCTCTCCAATTCAACCTCCTCAATCTCCTGGCAGCTAAGATAGGGACGGTGTTTTCCATCTTCCCGGCAACTCCTCGCACCCTTCATGGAACCAACCTCTGCGGTGACGCACATGTCCTCAGTCTCGCACTGATGACATTGTGTGTCAGGTAAGGACATCTCAGAGTGGTCCTCATCCTCAGTAGAGACAAACTTGCCACTCCAGATGTATTGAGTAGTTAGTCCGGTGGCGAGCAGAACACAGGAGATGGCATATGGCCATAATGATTTCATTCTCTGTTGGAAGCAAAGATTAACCTTGTTTACTTATAAGCTGTCCAAGATAGCACCACTGCCTCATGACTGTGCAATGGGATTGAAGAAGGCATAGTTGTTCTGCAACATTTATTTCACTGTTGTAGTAGTGCCGTGGTCAGAGAGAAAGTAATTTGTGACATGAACATTTAATCCAACTCCTGAGGTCGTGTAGAAATTTGCTGCATCCAGCGCCTCTCCAGCATAGCATAGCACTGCCCGCTGTATGTACAGTATACTTTGTTATTCTAAGAGCGCCCTCAAGAGGCCAAGTTCTCAAGCACGCCAGCCCTATTTACGCGGTCGTCTGCATGTCTGCCCAGAATAAAAACAAATTGTCGTTTTCCGATTGAATTTCTCAGTTTTCATAGATGCTGTCCTTGACTTCAGTCATCCTTGCGAGTGCTGCTCCTTGGCGACTTGGAAGTGCAGCCCTTTTGGCGGTGAAAATGGCCCAACAAATGCACACCACGGCCGTGACCGGGGGCAAAGTTGCTGTTGTAAGTATCGGTGGGGCGCCCTCTTGCTTAAGAAAATCCCCAGCCTGGAAGGGCAGGGGGGGCCCGCGGAGGTGCCTTGGAGGAATAAAAGAGGATAACATGGATTACTCATATGTTATTTGCGTTTTGTCATCTAGATTAATGCCACCAGTTGTATTCTTTTTATTGCACCAGAAATTCTGAGCTGTGTCAATTATATTAGTTGTTACAAAGTTTTGAACTTTACAAACTTTGTCATTTTGTTTTTCTCCTCTCCAAAGTCCAAGGGCCGTACCTCCATGGTCCATGTGCTCAGTAGGCTAAGGCTAAATTTGGTTTTTGCCATATTGGACTATTTTGACCCAGGTTATTCCAGCCTTAGCCATGCGTGAGAGAGTTCCATAATACGGACGCCAGTAATTATTCCCTACAATAGTCATCAGAAAGCAAAAAACATGTCCAGAAAAGTTCAGTGGGTCGGCGCGGACATCTGGGACTCTCGCAAAATGGCAGATAGTAACCATTGAAAACAGCGACCATGGTGACATATGTGTACACCAGCCAGTCAGAGGATCGGATTACACAATCATTTCTTTGATCAGTACGTACGCTAGCGTTCATTACAGTTGTTTTCATTGGTTGCTACCCGCCATTTTGCACCTCCCCGTTTAGGAGAGATAACACCAAATTATTTACTTAGAAAACACTTAGAAGTTTTCTGACAAGTCTCATAGGGTTATTGCACAGGGTGTTGAGCAGCGTCGGTCTATGGAACTCTTTCCGCCATGTGGTGTTCACGACAGGAAGAATTTGTACAGCCAACAATTGGCAAATAGCCAATCATTATGCATGCATGTATTCAGATGTGACAAATTGACAATTCAACGTGTATTTCACACTTTGCTGACAGGTTTTGTCGGGCTGTGGTGTTTACGATGGCAGTGAAATTCACGAGGCATCAGCGTAAGTCCCGTCTCTTCTTGGGGGGGGATAGGTTTAAGGTGACTTTTTCAAAATGTGTTTGGCACTAAAACTTCTCATACATATGGAGATAAGTGAAAGACCACTTGCTAAATACATGGCAAGGTGCAAACCTCACTTCACATATAGAATGTTGTGGCATTTGTGCTTGAAATAAGAACAAGGCTTTCTAGTTCCATTTAAATAATCACTTTACGACTTTGATGTATTGGGGTCATGATACGGCCAACTTCCTTGTAACTTGAGCATTGTGTGAATGCACATTCTCAGTTGACTCGATGCTTCGTTTCAACTGTGTCGTGCATCTTGCTTTTCCCGTCTCCTTTAGCGTTCTGGTGCACCTTAGTCGGGGCGGGGCGGACGTGTCCATCTACGCCCCAGACATCGACCAGATGCACGTGATTGACCACAGCAAGGGTCAGCCAGCTGAGGGACAAACAAGGTCAGTGACTGCATAGTTGCAGTCTGGCCACGAGAAAACATGGATCCTGCGGGGGTCCAATTTTACAGATTTGTCAAGCACTGGGATTTTCGCTCACCGCACAGAAGATGTGCTTAGCAAAGACAGGTTACCAGCCATAGTGTCATTGAAAAGATACTACTTACAATTGGCGGTTGGCTTATTTAATGCAAAAGTCTATTCAAACAGCTTTCCTGATTCCTATCCTGATGTTAGCGCGTGGGGATGTGACATTGTAGACTAGCTCTATAAAACAGACTCTAACAGTCAAATGTGTCTATTAGGTCTTGTCAATGTTAGTTGTAAGGTAGGTCATCGTTGTTACTGTTGTAGTTATTTTTTTAAATTCAACACCTCTTGTGCGGGGAAGAATTTGGATTGGGGTTTGGGGAATGATCTGTGGCTTAATAGGCAGTGTCTGTCAGTTACTTTTCACACTTGGTCATTCCCAAAAAAATTGTGGTTGCGTGAGCCTGATGGGACGTTGCTGTCGTTAAACAGTTTGGAAAAATCTCGCATAATTTTTCACTTGTGATAGGAATGTCTTGGTGGAGTCGGCCCGCATCGCTCGTGGCAAGATCTCTCCCCTCAGCAGCCTGGATGTCGCTTCCCATGATGCAGTGGTCTTCCCAGGAGGCTTTGGGGCTGCCAAGAACCTGTACGTGACTCTTGTCGTCTTGATTTGAGTGCTTTTTCAGGACGCCGGTTTAGTTTGTATGGTTCAGTCTGTCTTTCGTTTTCATCATTTGCGTCCACTTCAGATCTCTGAAGGTTCTCCAGTTTTTCACTTTGGTACACTGTGGAACAGAATGATTCGTGAAACCTAGGATGCCAATGAAATTGTACACAAGTGTGAGCATCCCTTACCCTCCAAGATCCATCAAAACCCTCATGAGGTTTTTGAAGGTTTGGCTGGATTGAGGGAAGTAGAGCTCAGAAGCTATATTTCATTCCATGGAACTTTTGTACTTAATGAGAATTTACACAAAAGTGCAAATGGTGTACTGACAATGCCCTACAGAGTGGAAGATTTTGTAGGATTCAGGAAGGTTTGTCTCTCTAAAGGAGTGACAGTTTAAGGCAAACTAGTTGTAAAAAAAAAATGCAGGATTGATCAGAAGTCTTCCTCTGTGCTGTTGCTGTTTTGCCATATGAGGCTATATCAAGGATCCCTCTCTGCGACATGGTTCACACGGGTCATTCCATTTTTGACAGTTCCACTGTAGCCAATGATGGCCCCAACTGCACCGTGAACCTGGATGTTGAGAGGGTCTTGCGGGAGTTCCACCAAGCCAAGAAACCCATTGGGTAAGCAAGTGTCATCAAACAACCCACTCATTGAACACCGCGACGGTACGGCAACACCTTGCCCAGTATTTGAATACCCTTGGCTCAATAGCCACTTGTAAGTAACAAGAAAAAGACTTTAATAGTTTTGACCCTTACTTGTCACAGTTTCACCTCAGAGTCATGCAAGAATGCTTCTTTTACTTAATAGGTAACATATTGACACTGTAAACGTTTGTACTCTCCTTGTCTTTGAGGCGAAGATGTTAGAACCCCCAACATACCTGCTCTACAATAGGCTAGTTTTAAATTTACTTGTTTCAATTGTATTCATTTAAGTTTGTATTGTTCTGCTCCAGACTGTGTTGTATTGCCCCAACCCTGGCCGCCAAGGTCATTCCGGGCTGCGAGGTCACCGTGGGTCAAGATAAGGACGACGGAGGGAGGTGGCCATATGCTGGAACAGCCGGGGCTATTGAGCAGATGGGGAGTAAGCACATCAACAAGGATGTCACAATATCCTTTTGCAGTTACCTTAAAAATGTAAGAGATCAGTGTTGTTCCTGAAGGAAATGGACATTGACCTTAATTTTTGGGGGCACTTTATTTGAACTGTGAAAGGCATTTTCAGAAATCCAGTGGTTGGTGTGATTTTGGATGTATTTTTTCTTAAAGTTACCCGTTTCATAAAATAAACATGAATGGAGTAGTGGACAAAAAAGATGTCTTTGTTACCTAGCAACAAGGTCAAGGTTTAACTCAGGGCTTCATTGCTACTTGCAGTTCCTTTGAGCGAGCCATCTTTTCTCACAGGCTCCAGGCACTCTTTTGTTTTTAATCACTGAAACAAAGATTTTCATCAAACTGAGGGGACTTTTTATACTGCACCCTATTTAAAGGTATTTCTGCCTGGTTGCAGATAGGCAAGGTGCATGTTGGATTAACTGTGTGATCCTTGATGAATTTTCCCACGAGGTTCACGTGGACGCAGCCAACAAGATTGTCACGACACCGGCCTTCATGTGCGAGACCAAAGTCCATGAGATATTTGACGGAATTGGGGAGATGGTCAGGAAAGTTCTCAGCCTCGCCAAGTAGATATTGAAACTTCAAGACTTGCTTGGAGACGCTGAAAAGCCAGAGTATAACATTGAGGCCAGCAAAACAGCTGGATCAAGACTATCTCAACAGAGGTTGTTTTGGTGAACGTGAAAATCGAAACCTGCCCTAAATTGGTTTCTCGTCTTTTTATTTCCGTGAAATATTTCTGGTACTTGTATTATTTTTTTTTCCTTGCAGCTCATGAGCAAACCTTCAGTTCAGAAGATGATGTGGATAGAAATCGTTACTTTGGCCGTCATGTTTTAGACTGTTCTTACACGGTCCCTGTCCATCGCAAAAATCTTTGAAGAACAGTTTTGGCAGTGCATTTCCAATTGACAGATTTGTAATAAGCACCACAGGCTTATGTTGCAGTGACTTCAGACTTAACTGGAGAGTTCTCATGAAAGAGCATATTGGTCGTCGCTCGTTCAGTGAGGATGATTTAAGTTTAGTCTTATGCTAATAATGTCATGTTTGGTCATGATCTAACCTCAAAAAGCTTTAGCAGCAAAATTAGTACACATTTCTGAGAGGGAACTGCACTACCGTGTAGATCATATTTTCTGATGTTGAACATTAAAGGTTTGAGAAATAATGATAAATGATGAATTAAATTCATGCAATTTAGGAAATGAGTTCTGTCGCCATTCCCGTGAAATGTTTTGTCATTTCCAAGTGTTTCAAATCTGTCTCTTTACCTACCAGTCTCACATGCACTGTATATGCTGCTTTATAACGGGGATTTTTTTTCTGAAGAAAATTTGACAAGCATTGACACCACAGAAATGCGACAGGGAAGATTTTTTGGAGATGTCATCATCTGAATAGTTTGGCAAGAAATAAAAATAACTGGAAGAAAATGTATCTTTAGTTGTTTCAAAAAGGTTAACTGAAAGTTGGGGTACCGTCCTTCTCAGAGTAAAAAAAAAAAATAATTAATGAACCTTAATAGATGTGTAGTTTTCCTGATAATGCTAACCAAGGTTTTATCGAGGAGAGAGCACTTTAGCCGTGTGAGTTCGATTGTGATGTTACAGTTGAGTTACTTTAACAAACTTTTTTACACTGATCAAATTTTGAGTTAGAACTGCAGCATCTCCCTAGTTTCTGTTAGAATCACACGTGTTTATCATCCAGCTCTGATATCGAATACTGCATCTTATCTGTGTTTTGGGTAATCTCTAAAGAGGTCTTTTGCTGATGCGATAACCGATAATCGTCTGTCAGTGGCGGTCGCTCCAACTAAAGACCCTTTTTGTTCCAACAATTCCGAATCGATTGTCACCGTGTAGCATGCCTTTGTTGCCTTTTTGGAGACGTTTGGCCCTCTACGCCATGTCAACAGTAGACGACAAAGCGATTTTTACATCTCAATTTTGCCGCGGGGATTGCAGCGCAGGGAACGAATCCTGAATGGAATCTTGAAGACGTGGCTGTATCATGTGAGTGTGAAGAGTTGGGCTGAATAGGGGTTGTCTCCTTGGCAACCATGAAGGGGGGGTTAGAACTGTATGAATGCCTCGATTGCTGAACCTCCCGCTAATTTGCTGCGTATGCTGTCCTCTGGCTGAGAGTTGGAAAGTTTCTTAGAGGACAAGAGCCAAAAATATCTCGGAGGGTGACTAATTTAAGAGGGACTTATTGTCGACGCGGAATACTAAAAAAAAAAAAAATTACCATATAACGTCCTGGGAATCAAGGAAAAAAATTCTTTATATTATATGCGCGGCTTTCTCTAATCTGACCTAACAACCTACAGAGCCGTATCCAGCCTAACCTAAAACCGGCATCGACCTATAATTTTGGAGATATCTCTTTGCTCCTTTTTTTTGTTTTATTTTGTTTTGTTTGGTTTTTTTTTTAGAATTGATATAGGTCATGACATCGATATATATAAGTGTGTGAACTAAGTTACGTTCAAAAACGAGTGGTAGGAAGTCGGATCGGGCGAATTATTCCGGCATTTACTCGTCAATTTGCTATATTATAGGATTCCCCATGGCTCTGTATGAATTGGACACAAAAATACCGATGATGACTTCGTCTTCATCCACAAAACAAAACATCTCCCGCCATTCTTCGCCTTAAGCCCAAGAGTCAACAACGCAGAGCGCAGAGTATACAAAAAGTCTTCAGTGCGTGACTTGTATCTGAGTCTCGCTCCTAAGGTTGGAAAGGGACATATCTCATCGATTTAGTTTCAGACATTGCTTCTTGCCGATGTCACGTCTGTAGAAACAACTGTAGGCCTACCGTTACCCAGTTTGTTACCCGACAGTGATAGTTAAAGTTTCCGGGAGAGAATGGCAAACAGTCGGCGGTTGGGACGGAGGCAGAGCAGCCTTGAAGACTTGGCAACATTTACGAAGGTATGTTCGGAAGGTATTTCCAGAAAGTTCAAACATAGTTCTTCATACCTCTGTGTGATAAAGATCAAACTTAGTTGGATTTCAATTAATGCCAACTGGAAAGACATAAATAATAAACGTGCAGAAGTTAAGAGGGCATTTTTTTCGGAAGGACAATGTATTCGATGATTTGGTTGTTAGGTTGCGGTGCTAATCCGTTCTCACGTAGGCCGCAGAACTAATTAATGTCAAACAGTTTAAATATAAAAAATATACCTTTTCCTCGTAATCTTTATCATTTACACTTTACTACTTAATTTCAATTAATTCTTACTATAAAAAAACAGACAGACAGCGTGATCAGGCACCAAGTAAGTGATGTGTTGGCCTTCATGGATTGTAAAATTTTAATTACCCATCAAAACAGTAATTGTCCTCAACATCAGTCAAACAAAAAGTAGGCCTATATTAATGTCATTCCAGTGGATATCTTTATGAACAATTTCATAATTTGAAACAATAATTCCTTTCCTCTGAATCACAAATACGACGTGATGTCTATACTAGTGTCTGTTTCCCGCTTTACAGGCTGCCGCAGCTAAGGGGCCGGCGGGGCGACGGGCGTCTATAGCCGTAGCGCCGTCAGCCGGCGCAATGGCACGATTAGTAAGTTTCAAATCAAAAACTACCATAAAGTACGATCGATTCTGTTTATGTGATTGGAATGTGTGAATGCTTCAAGTTCGCCGAGATCCACCCTGAGTAAATGTTTTGTGCGGCAGGGTACCTGAACCCCACTGGCACATATCAAGCCCCGCCCCCACCCGACCCACTCGAGAAACAGAAGTATTTGAAAAAATGTAATTATTTTAGTACTGTGGTTTTAAAATATTAATAGTAATCTTTAATCTACATATTTTCCAGGCGCCTGGAATTCCCAACAGATTTTTCAGAAAGGTAAGTTTTAATTCAAGTAATTAAACCCTAAATAAGCATTATGAACGACTGGTTTATGTTTTGCTAGGAATAAAAGAGTCGATTCATGAAACAGTCGTTGTTTCCTGCTTAGCAACAAGATGGCGTCCTCGTCGACGAAAAAAGGAAAGGGGAAATCTTCTCAAATAACTATTCAAATAACCGGGAAAGGGTCCGAAGCTTACAAAGACATTGACTGGAAAACGCTGAGTGTAAGTTCATGTTTGTGGATGGGTTATTTCAAACGAATTTTTTCGTGATTTTTGCTTCAGAAATGGAGTTTTCTGCACAGCATTGCGTTCATTTTCTTCGCTTGTGGCTGTGCATGTTGAACATTGAGTTGACAGGCCGGGTACAGGGGGGGGGTAGGTTGCCCTCACCAACATTCCAACAATGACAAAAATCCACTTAGGTCTAGGCTTGTGTTTACTTTCATAAATGATTGTGATATCCTGTGGAGTACTAATAGCAAGATTTGTTTGTAGGCCTACACGTATAAAGAAAGACTCAGTCAAACAGGGGGAAAGGGTTTGATTCTGAACTGAAGCAGTGAAGGCCAGGGCGGTGTTTTCTTAGTAACAGAGGCTCTTTTGGTCAGACCTGAACTTTGCTGGTTTACAAATGACTATGAGATTCACTCGTTGTTGCGTGCACGTTGCTACGAACAAAATGAACACTTCCGACCAACTGAACTCGATCAGGGGGGTGCTTTTGCACTTGAGGCAGATTAGGAAGATCATAAATCATTGACATTAATAGACTAGTGAATAGCTTTAAAAACTGGTCGTGCTGCTGTCAGTCTCCTTACAATGGACAGAACATAGTACTGTCCAAAGTCTTGAGTTTCGTCACAGTTTATTTTAGAAAATCCCAAACTCTCACAGAGAATTGTTGCCTGGCCTAGAAGTGAAAATCTGCTGCCAATAAGCATGTCAGATTCAGAATGTACTGAATTTGCTCACTGAACTGCATTTATCTGAGTGTCTCCAACAGCAAAAGCAAGTAGGCCCCTACTGCGTGAGAAATTGACATGTTGTTTCGGAAGAACTATCCCTTGCATGACCCACAGAATTAAGTGTAATGCACATTCTCCTTGGGTGGCAGACTTCTGGTGGGTCTATCATCCGTCTTCGTACTTGAATGTAAAATACTTTTACATGAATTCATGAAGCAAAGCTTTAGATGATGGGTTTTAGTAGGTTCTTTTTGATATACATTTCTGTTTTTAGGACGATGAAGCCAAGGCAATCGAGAAGGAAGCATCCCTAGCATGGAAGGTGCTGTCCAACACCCAGACTCAAGCCCTTCAGGATCTGCCAGTGGAAGAGGTGGAAAAGTAAGCCTTTGAGCTGAAGCAGTGAGACGCCTTCATGTAGGCCCCAGGGAAGGATTAATGGAGGGACTGGTCATTGGGATTCTTGGCCGTAGTCCTTCCCAGAGAAATAAATTTGAATGTACTGTGGGGTTTTACACAGCGGTCGTTTCCTTGTATTCTCCGGTAACTTACAGGAAAGGCTGTAAACTGCTGATGGATAAGAGTGACCTGAAAAATGAATTGTGGTAAAGTCAGAGGGTTGGAGTTTCAATCCTTGTTGGATCATTTTCAAAGGCAACAAAAATATTCTGAAAGATTCTGCTTTGATTGAACTGTCAGGCTTTTTTTTGTATGTGTAGAGGGTACAATGTCTTGTTCTACATTTAACTGGTCACTGTGTGTTTCAGAATTAATTATGTTTTACTCTTTCAAAGACAAATATTATATAGTTTATGCTTGTCAACAGTGGTACCTTTCTGAAACAGATGCCAACATTTTTAAGTTTTTGTACAAGTTGGAGAGCCAACTGGAGCATCGTTTCATTGTTGCTGATGGAATTTAAATTTGATGACATCTCTGTAGAAAATTGTCTGAGATCCTGAAGCTGACCAGCCCTGAGATTGACCTGTGCGAGTCGGTCCTGCTGGACTACTACGTTAGCGGGTTTTGGTGGGCCAAGGAGAGAGGCTTCACCACCCAGCAGCTCTCGGGATTCTTCACCGTGCTGCACCAGCTCCTGGAGAACATCAGAGGTAAGCAAAGGTGTCTTGACCTCGTTCGGAGAGCAGACATCGATGCTGCCATTTGGGGCGATTCCCCGTGAATAGTAAAATGCGCTGTCGTATGAGGAATAGTCAAGGACAAGACTAAAGAAACTACTCCGTCTTACAATCAAGCGACGCATCATGCCATGTTCTCTTTGCCGTGAACTTATTATAATTGGTTGCTCCCTTTGTTGCGATGTATAGTTAAAACAAAAGAAGCAATCACTTTATCGTGCACGTGTCTTATCCCTTAAATGGGCAGCTCAGTTTTCATTCACGTTGGAGTGTTCTTTGTTGCAAATAAAATTTCATCAGCTACACTGCACCTGTGTGGTACCAAAGTTTTGTAATACAACTAGGTTAATGCCATATTTGTGACAAAATATTAAATGTGAAGTTCGTTTGTCATATTTATTTTTAATTTTATAATGCTGGAATGCCCAACAGGGACAATTGTCAAAACTACTTCCTTGAATTTCAAAATGGAAAAAAAAAGCATTCTTGTTGTTAAGTGCATGAACACAGAGTCCTGTGACTACTGGGGTACTGATCCACTCTTCATTCAAGTTTCAAATTGGTTGAGGATTTCAACTCCATCTTCTCCATAACCTGTTTTGGAACCCTCAGAAAAGCAGCTGTCCCTGACAGACAATCTTTCTGAGTTTCGGAAGACGTTAGTGGGCATCGGTGCCGACAACAATACCCCTAGCAGAGGGCTGGATTTTTTTGACCTGGAGCACGCCAAAGCCATCACCGACTTCCTCCAGAGCACGTGAGTTTACAAGCATTGAATGCAGTCTAGGGTCTTACAACATTTTCTCAAGAAAATGCAGCATTTTCACAGGTATTACGTCAGTATCTTTTGAAAAGTACGTGAAAGAAAAATCAACAAGTTAAAAGGTCATATTAGGTTTTTTTTTTCTTTTTATTACCAAGGCAGAATCTGCAGTAAGATCATATTACCCATCCCAGCTGTATGTGAAAATTGGTCAATATTTACAGTCACATTTAAAACCCAGCATTTGAAATTTGTTCGCACAGATATTTTTTGCAGTTGTACGTACATAACAAATGTGTTTTGAGTTGCAGCTTTATTTTTTTTTGTTAATAATCTTCCTCCAGGTTATTCCAGCATCATAAGATGTACGAGTTTCTATTTCACTCAGAAAGGAAAGAGGAAATTGTCGGGACAGAGGTAAATCCCTTTATGAAGGTTTAACTGTCATCCGAACATCATTTCTATGTTTGTTGGAATTGCAGATAACAGGGTGTCAAAACAACAACTTACAATCTGGGATACCCTGAGACACCTCCCACAGTTGTTCCGTTAGGGTTGAGTTAAATGGCAATGTTTCCTTGGTCTGACAGCTGGTGGTTGACGTTCTCCCGCCGGCGGCTATGCCTCACCCACCCCCACTCGACGAAGGGCTGAGAGAGGAGGTCTACCTGAGGCACATCGCCCCTGCACCCCCGACGCCTTCCCCCGAGCCCCAGCCACAAGAAGGCAGCACAGAGGAGGAGGGAGTGTCCGACAGAGGAGAGACACCAAAGACCAGTGAGGAACAGGGTAGGTGATAATTTGCAAGTTTACCCGGTGGTGCACTGGAAGTTAAGGGCCTGTTTGGTTCATATGGATTATGATCTCGATCACTGGTCCCAAGGCTGGTTCGTTCACGAGGCAGGTTCTGGTGTCGGTGAGCCAACGTTGGACCACCGATCGCAATCTGGATGTGTGCAGAACAAACGGGCCCTGACTAGAAAGAATGAACCGTAGAAGTTGCAGGGTCTGGCAGAGTCTTTCTCGAAGACAAATTTGTCTGCTTGAGTTGCAGGGGAATAGTTGCAGTAATCGTTTTCCGTGGCTTTAGTGTGCCAGCACGACCTCTTTTTCAACGCTGCAGTGCAGTATGATGCACACTTCATCACCGTGAAGCTCATTCGATCCATTCCAAAGAGCTGCATAACTGTAAAAGTAAATTTGGCAAAACTTACAGACTCCACTTTTTGCCCTGGCCATCACTTTTTTTTTTTAAACCTTTTTTCCATTAACGGTAGGGGCAGAAGCAGTGAGCTCAGGGGAACAAGAGGACCTCCTTGCCGGTGTCACACCCGAAGAGGTCAAGACAATGTTTGACCGTGTGTCAAAGGAGCTCTTTGCCGGCCTACAGGTACAAGAGTGGATTTCATCCATCCATACCATAACTGACTAGATGACTTAACTATAAAGCACCAGTAATATCCATAGTTTGGTTCGCATACATCATGTTCTCTTTTTTTGTGTCATTTTACTTTATCTTGCTCCATTCTGGAGGTCTTTGAGGGAGTGAAAAGTGAAAGTGTATACAATAGCAATTAATGGAGTTTAGATTCTGTTATTCAACATTTCAATGAAGTACTACTGTAAAACTTTGCCAGGAGGAAAATTTGCTCTCTGATTCACCCGTCTGTTTTACAAATGGAATATTTGAATTTTCAGATCATAAATGGTTCACAAACTGCCATACTGAGTAACAATTTTATCCTTTAGTCATGTTGTAATCGTTCCCGTTGTGCTCTCGATTTCAGAATGACATTTCAGAGAAGTTGATGGAGAGAGAAGCGGAGATCATTGGTAGAATCAACAAGATACACAGAGTGGCCGAGACCTAGCGGGAGTAGTGATTGAATGATTGGCTCGGGATTGCTTGCAGCCCATGAATGACCCAACAATCCGTATCGGGGAAGAAGAGTGATTGGTCGATTTCCAAATGCCTCCTGAGGGCCACGTCATGAAGGACTTCAGTTTCTGGGAATGACATTCAAAAGGGTTTTTCATACTGTGAAACCTAAGCTTGGGGTGCTGGGAGAGTGGCATATGGGGAGGAGGGCATGTCATGTACAGCCACCCCACTGAGCTCTCCTGTCCTGTTGAACCACTGGTAGCAGCTCCATTCATATATAAATAAATGCAGGTTTACATAAGTAGTCACATGCACTGGCAATTGGTAAACTGCGTGGGTCCCAACCCGTCCCATAAATATCGTTATTCCGACATGTCCAGCCCCTTTTTTCAGTAAGAAAAAAAAGACTTGAGGTGACATGTGATAATTTTGTACAGAGCTGTATGTATTCTGTGTAGAATTTTACCTTCCAGAGTACTCTTGCAATGCCATACTGAATAAATTTGTGGTGGGTGCCTGGACTCTGCAGCTGTTTGCAGATGTGCACGGCAAATAACGGTGATGATTAATCAATTTGCCGCACAGCGCTCATGCACCTGTGTTGTCTCTGCCTGCCTAGACTCCATCCAATTGTACTCGTGTGTATGAATGTGTACATTTTTTTGCAGGAAGCTTGAATTGTTTTTTATCGATATATGTAAATATTTTGATCTCGTCTGTAAATAAAGAGACTGTATGTGCCTCCGACGCTGGAAATTGTTGGTGTACGCTGTGCTTGTTCAATGCTGATGGTTGGCAGTGATTCAACTCAATTAGATGTAATTTATAACCATTGTTTTTTGAGGTTTATTAATCCTTCCCAGCAAGTTAACTTGAAATATTCCCACCTTATTCTCACTTTATTTTGGGGGTGGAGAGAATCTGTCTTTGAAGAAAAAAATTAGGAAGTAAAACATATCAAAAAGATGTGAAAAGTTCTTGGGAGGCACAGTGGTTGCCTCAGAATCCTTGCAGATAACTGCAGCAGTTGCGGGGATGGGATATCAGGGAGTCAACTGCATGTCCTAATCTCCTCTCCCCCCCCCCAAATAATTATGCTGGTTGCTGCTTTCACTGAGGGGAAAATTTCACCTGGTGGCGTGACGCGATAACGTTATCTATCATCAGATGGGCGGCTGTTCTTAGTTGGGTTCTCACACAAGCCTGACTTTGGATGGATGTACAATTACTGTCTAAAATTGCGAATACGTATGTTGTCTACTTGAATACCCAAAGGCACAGCGCACAGACAAGAGACCTAGACCATGGAGGAAGGAACACATGCCTAGACATAGCTCTGGAAGCCCGTTTCGGACACGGTTACTAACCCCCTACATTTTTATGTTAAAGAAATAGCAATTATTAACAACATAATGGTAACCTCCATGGGAACACATACCTCAACATGCTCAGTGTTATTATTAATCAAGGGATTAAATTGAGGGAGTGTAAACCATTCCATTCGAATTATTTTTCTATTGCTATTGTTGATTTCATTCTCTCCATCTCTACAGATGCAACTTGAATGCTATGATTGAAGCCAAACCAAATTCGCTACAAACGTAATAGCCAAGCAAAGCTGTAACCCAATTAAAAAATACGCCTATTCGCGAATGGAACTAAGTACACAGTATCTGGGCGATGACGGAATCAAAACAATGTGTTGGCGTTTATGGCGTTTAGGTCCTACGTTTGTACACGTCGGCGTAGGCCTACTTCTGCAGCGCTAGAGGACACGTCATTATTTCGAAAGTTCTGGGCTGAGTTCAAAATTTCTGCAAAACTAACCTGACGCTTTGTTCTCGCTGAAAAGCCAGCGGGAAAAGACGTGAAACGAAGGTGGTGGAATTAGGGGACATTAATGCCAGCGCCAAGTGGCTGAATTTCGGCAGTGGCCGTAGTGCAGCGGTGAATGGTGAAAAGAGGATTAGGCTATGCGTGAGCATGTAGGTTTGATTTCACTTAAATTAACATGATTAAGTGACTTAATCACGTTAATGGTTGCGATATGTTATCAAGTAGTTATCTGTCACAATGACTGAAACGTACTTGTTACTTTTAGAAATTCCTGCTGCAGCTGAATTCTCCTCTAGGGAGATGAATAAGGAGCCCCCTATTTGTTTTGTTGTAATGAATCAAAGCCTACATCAACCATGTTAACTGCAACAGCTGCAGTCTGTGACTCTGGACATTTTTAGAAGGGAAATAAAGTTTGAAACATATGTGGTTTTGATTCCATATTGTAAGTTAGGAAGTCACAACAGTGTAGGCGTGGAACCAGACAAAGGTTTGTCATTGTGATAATGTTTTGGTTACTGAAAACCTCCACTGTGCATGTTCACCTGTGTTGTCCTTTCCGTTCAAGTTCCAGTCATGTCTGTGCTGGTCAAGTTCGGCATGATCATCAGTTTGCATGATCACCTAGTCCCATTGTGGGATTGGGCAATCCTGTTGAGTGTTGTCAATCTCCAACGTCAGGCCTACTTCCTTTTTGCGACAGACCTTCACCATGTTCACTACTGTGAATTCGAAAAAAATGGCTGACGGCTGAACTATCAACAAATTAGGTAGAAAGATCAGCCACTCGCACAAAGATCAGACTGTATAGGTCAGCCCAATTGCACCCAGTGGTTATAAATTAATAGCGTTATTTCTTCTCTTCACTTTGTAAACAGAACCAGATGTTCCCGGTGATTTCTGGCCGAGTTTTATCACAATGTCAGGACAGGCGACACTCTGCCGAGGTCTCGTAGTTACAGCCATCTCCTTGCTTCTAGCCTGTGGGGCAACTGGCAGCGAGGTCCAGGCAGCCAGCACGCAGCAGCAGGGGATTCCCGATGACGGTGGTCCCAAAGCCACTGTCTACGTCGAAGGGGCTAGAGTGGCAGCGTTCAATACTTGCAGTGAGAAGACGGCGTCTAGCAACCACTTCAGGTATGGCTGTGATGTTTTGCACCGGGCCTTTCATATGTATGCGGCCTGTCACGACGAAATGAGAGTAAAGTCGCACTTTGTAATTTCCCATGATTACTATTACTATTTTTTTCGTCATCATCACATTGGACCAAACAAAAATACACAATTCAAGACAAGATGACAGGAACTAAGAAAGTGAACCTAATCACTATTGCCAAAAGGGAAATAGCCCCAAACGACAAGTAAAGACATGAAGACATTCATC